ATAAGTTCTTTTTGCAGTGGATACATCTTAACATACTGACTAGGTACAATGTTATCCGCTTTAGGGCAAATCAAAGTAATGATGTTTCCCCCCCATACGCATCTTCTAGATAACTAAACTGTCTACAAAGCTATTTAAAAAGAAACGCGCCGTATTTAAAAAAGAAGAGAAACGTTTAGATTGACAATACCAGGGGCCTGTGGGTACAGTGGTTAATGAGTCTGACTGCCAAGACAGAGGTCGTCGTAAACCAATACTATAAATCTCAATTCCGGGAATATTTTTGAATTGTCTTCAGTCTGACATTTTCTCTTTTTTCGTATTAATATTTGTTATCCAAAAATTGTTCATTTTTCAGTACAATTTTAAACATTTTCTTGCATATTACTTCATGGTCGTCTCCCTCATTACTGAAGGCAACTTCAATGTATTTAGAAAAATATTCATAAATAGACATTAAACCAAAATCTAAATTTAAAAAATATAACTTTTAATTTACTAATTTGAAACATTTTAATCGAGAAGATTAACCTGTAACTGTCTACTAGACACCAACTTTCAAGTTTATAAACAGCTTATCTGTCATGTTGATAAACTTGACGAAAATAAGAAAACCAATTTACAGATTAACAACTTTCACGAGACTGAAAATCTACTCGTAATAATGAGAAAATTCTTATTGGTTCCTTTTTACCTTACTTCTGTTGTAATAAAACAAATATTAAAGGTCAATCGTCAATTTTTGTCTTACATGTATTTACAAAAAAAAAAAGTATTTATATCAGTTGTCTAGTACCCATAGTACAAGCTCTACTTAGTTTGGGACTAGATGGCGTTGTGTGAATGTGGTACAATATTATTATATTATAATTCTATATAAAAAAAATCTAGATGAAAAAATCCTATCCCTGGGAAAATGCTTGAGAAATTTCAGGATGACCGGATGAACGCATAATACAAGCAGAAATAAATATTTTTATTGTATTTCCTGATGTAATAAATACAATGTACTAATACAACGTTCTGAAAAAATTACGAAACGAAAGTTCAGAGATCTGCGATTATGAACAAACAAACGTTATATAGGGCAAATCCTATGTTTAAAATAAAATATTCGCTCAAAATGCAGCATGAATTGTCCTCCATTATCAATTTAGTCTTCATTTTTTCACATGTATACAAACAAATAAAATTGGAGTGTCTGTTTGTAATATTAAAATAACCGCTTTTTACTAAATGCATAATGTATATATATATATAATGTATTTATATGTATATATATATATATATATATGTATGTTCACACGGTACTCGTACATATGCCAAAATAACATTTTTTCAATTTTTGTCTGTCTGTCTGTTTGTTCCGGGTAATCTCTGGAACGGCTGGACCGATTTCGACGGGACTTTCACTGACAGATAGCTGATAACATAAGGAGTAACTTAGGCTAATTTTTTTAGGCTAGCTTCGCCCCGCGGCGTTGCCCTCGGTTATAACAACAACGCGGGTTACACCGCGGGTCTCAGCTAGTGAGAATTAAAAGTAAAGGATTTGACAATACCTAGGAATGACGTCACGTCTTAGTATCTTTTTCACGTTTAATTAAAAGATACCGATTTGATTTGAGAGGACATTCTTACACCTATATATGGATGTAAAGACAAATATCTAAGCAGTCACAATGTAGTAGAGGAGTTTGTCTTCACGAATAATACATTAACCTATAAACGAACGAACTTTACAACTTAAAGATAAGCGTTCAATACGCAACGTACGTCTTAACGGCTGAAATTCTATTCGGTTATTTAATGTTTCTCATAATTTATTGAGTTACTCTGTTAGTACACAATGCAATAGTTATTGTACGGTATTTCTACACACGAATTTTGAAGATTACTTTCTTAAAAGTATCAAGTATATTTATTAAAGATTAGCTTTTGCCCGCGACTTCGTCCGCGTGATGGTCGCCATCAGACATCGTAGAGGATACAATGATTCAAGATTTGTATCTTTTGTCATCAAGACTTTTAATAAAGAGTATTTACCTACTGTGAGTTTGAAAACGGTACTACCAACTTAACGAAGTTCCATAAAAAAATCCTGTGGGTGGAAAAATCCTTTGTTAGTGCACACTTATGTCACCTAAGGAACACTTGTCCAAAACTCCATGCATCTAGACCCAGCGGTTTTACCTGTGCGTTGATCGATCAGTTTCTCAAATCAAACTATCAGTTTCTTCTTTTATTATAAAGATACTGACATGATTTTACTCACTTACGGCTTTTGGGGATGCTGCCAGACAAGTTTCCAACCAGATAAGACCCTTTTTCAAAGATTCAAAAGATCTGACGCGTCGGTATCAGGCGTCAGAAATAAATATTAGGATCCTAAATAAAACCAAGCTAGCCTTACAATAGTCGCATTTGATGGGTCATTTGATACATAACCCATTAAATTACGATACGATACATCACCCTTTTTTTTTTTTTTTTCCCGTGCGGAAATCCCCTCGGATACCACCTGTCGGTGGCATGTCGGACTCGAACCGACTAAAACCGCACGCCGTCCCGGGTACTAATAGCCGGGGAACCAGGTATACCCTAGAAAGGAAGTCCCTGGTACCCCGACATACCTCGGGTCATCTACAGACGAGTAGACGACCCCCCCCGTGTGGGAACCCCATGTTCCCGGTGCTCCCTGGAAGCGAGCGCGCTTCGCAACGCGCTTGCCGCCACCCCGGCCTGCTTCTGCTAGGGTGACAGATGGCCTCACCTGTCACCCCCAGGCCTGCGCTTTTGGAGGACGGAGGTCGTTCTGCGACCTCCGGCGCCTGAGTCGCCTGCGGTACCTGGCCCGCTCCCGGGCCACGATACATCACCCTAATTCTACAATACGACGGCCAACAAAATGCACTGTGCTATTGTAAGACGCGTTTCAAGAATTAAGGACCATTTGTTTTTCATTAGATAAGTAGGTATATAAAAAGTACAAAATGGTTGTCAATTCCCATTTAATTCTTCTTCCACCGAGCCTTTTTCCTAAACTAGGTTGGGGTCGGCTTTTAAGTCTACTACGATACCGATGAACCTTTTTTTTGCGCGGAGCAACTGACCCTAGTACTAGGCGATATCGAAGTTCTGTAGAGAGACTGTTGTCGGACTGTTTAGGGTTCCAACAGATGTTGGTATGGCAACCAGGACCTAAGGCTTAAGGTGCTCTACAAGCCACAGAGGAGTCTCAATATGTTAAGAATGGTCACCAATCCATACACTGTCCTGGCTAGTGTTGATTAACTTTTGCAATGTATAAACCTACTCGATTGCCATTTAACCACGAGCCCCTCGATAACTAAAAACAAAATATACTTTTTGCAATTAATAAATGGAAATATAAAGAAGTCAGCCCTTCCAAAATACTAAAAAGGATTGAAGTGTAACTATAAAGTACTGTATGTATTACAGATACATACACAAAACGGCATATTTATTGCGTTTAAAGCAAGTCATATCGACGGTTTTGGCCGTTAAAAGTATTAATAGCCCTTCCGATAAAACGTTTTATTAAAAACAATTATTTTATAACTGCGTTCCGTTACATAACCTTTAAAAATATATTATGTACTACGCTGAGCTGTCACCTATATCGTTTTTTTTTTTCAACTGCCATAGAGACGTTACGACGAGTTAAAATTCTCTTTTTTGTGTTCTTTAGTTTTAATTTGTTGCTAAGATCAAAGCAGACGCTGTCAGGAGCCTTTTATTTATTAAATATTCCATTTACTTTTATTTATTACAGTATAGATACAGTTGGATATCAAATACTTGTGTATTTGTGAACTATTATTAAGGCTTTTATTAAAGGTATTGTCAGTTGTTGAAATATAGTGATGAGAAATTTGAATTTTTTACACTTATCTGACAAACACATTTAGTGAACAGCCTATGAGAGTAAATGCTTAGGTTTAAAATAAATTATTTCGCCTGCATCATTAAATGTAATATGTTTTCATCATCATCATCAACAGCCTTTACTAGTCAACTGCTGGACATAGGCCTCTCCTTAGAAAGGAGGTTTTGGCCTACTACACCACACTGGCCAGACGGGTTGGTATAGGGTTTGTGTCAAGTTTTCTTTCTCTCTGCAGTGCTGTTGTCCTGCTTATTTTGCTCCCTTAGTCAGTCCTTACGAGACCCACGGTATGAATAGGGGTGGTGACGCTCTGTATTCTTAATCCGTCACCACACATGTTTTGGTAGAGCCTAAATTGTCCTCCATTATCAATTTAATCTTTTTATTGATTTGATATCTTGATATCAACATTAAATATTAATTATTTGACTAAAGGTAGGTATGTCGTCACAAAATATTATTTCATACAAAAATGTACCGCATCTAATGTTTAAAGAAAGTACTAATTTGACTTAACAGTCATCTAACCTATTGTAAACGATAGCCCATAGACAACACTGTGCAAAGATTTGTTTGACTGTGGTGGTCGTAAACACCTCCTGTTTCTAATGGCTATCTGCAGCTGACGGGAACAATAAGCATTTATTAAATAATTGGACTGGAGAAAGTTCGCTCTTACTATATTTATCTTGCCAACTTAACTTAATATGAAAGCCAAAAGTAATGACCAATTAACTGTACAAAAGATTATACAAATAAATTGTCAATGAGCAGAAAGGAACTGGTCCATTCCTCACAAAAGAATCTTCAATCAACATTTCCTGGTTTTTTATTTTCCATCAATCAGCAGACGGCGTGAAGACACGCGCACGCGCACGCGAACTTGGCCCAATTATTGGAAGCCATGCATTATTTACCGTACACGTTAGCACGCGACGAGACGCACCGTCGCTCGTCATTCTTTCGATTTGCTCATTATTGGAACGAGATTTTGTGCGATTGAAAGCGATTAGCGTTTTATATTTTTTTCTCCTGCTTTCTTGCAATCTGTGGTAGTGATTTTGTGAAATAGGACGGAAATGTGTAACAGGTAACCGAGTAAGCGCGCACAATCAGCCCTACACATCATATGCGACTACTGTAAGTTTGACTTGTTTTGTTTGACTTGTAACTCCTTTGGCGAGTGAACTGCTGAGAACTCAGGATCGCACTGAACTCTTCACAAATCGCAACGCCAAATGCGATCTCCGTCGACAGTCGAGTTGATGTAAATGAAATCGCACTAGAGATCCTCAGATCTCAGTAGACATGGTAATTATTGCTACTTATAAATCTATATTGAAATGAAATTATGGGCTTTAGTCACAGCGATTTAACATGTGATTGTGATTTGGTCATATATTTGGATTAGGGGTTAATGAAATTAAACTACTGAATGATAATAGTTTTTTTACTATTATTATAGCTTTAGGCCAACTTACCAGCCTTATCTGAATGCATAATGGACCGCCTGGGTTTAAATGCGGGACCAGAGCCAATAAGCCCCTACAAACACCAATAACAACTAAACGTACATACTAATATTTTATGTATACAGAAATATTCAGTACATTTGTTTTTAATGTTTATTGTCTATAATATCTTGTATATATATATATATAATATATATATATTTTACTACATTCACACAACGCCATCTAGTTCCAAACTAAGCAGAGCTTGTACTATGGGTACTAGACAACTGATATAAATACATATATACTTTTTTTTTGTAAATACATACATATTATACATAGAAACACCCAGACCAAATCAAACATTAAATGTTCATGCACACAAATGTTTGACTTGAGCGAGAATCGAACCCGCGACCTTTGGAATAGCAGTCCGTTACACAAACCACTACGCCAACCGGTCGTCAAATGTATATATTTAAACGCTGAAACTATCTGTCAGATTTGAACGATTATTACTTTAATATATAGCGTATTTATTTTAGAATAATATAGGCTATAAAACATGACGCTATGGTCAAACTGCGAGTTAAAACTACTCATTCGTAAAACTTTCTACAGCACATATAGTTACATTTATTGCTTCTAGCACAGAAATAATTAAAAATACACAAGGTAGATTACACGTTTTACCAGTTACAGATAATACGGTTAGAAGCGGTAATGATATTAAACCAGATAATGTATTAACAGAGTAAATGGTATTAACAATTAACGATATTAGTTCCTTATTCAGTTGAAGCATATAGGTTAGTCGGCCGGTGGGTCTCACATCACATCATAACATCAACAGCCTTTAATAGTCCACTGTTGGACATAGGCCTCTCCATAGAAAGGAGGTTTTGGCCTACTATACCACGCTGGCCAGACGGGTTGGTATAGGGTTTGTGTCAAGTTTTCCTTCTGTCTGCAGTGCTGTTGTCCTGCGTAGTTTGCTCCCTTAGTCGCCTCTTACGACACCCACGGGATGAATAGGGGTGGTGACACTCTGTATTCTTAGTCTGTCACCACACGGATTCGGCCGGTGGGTCTAGTGGTTTGCAATCCTGACTGCTAAGCCAAAGGTCAGGGGTGCGTTTCCGAAGGCCTGGGGGTGCCAGGTGAGAACACCGTGGTTCCTACACACCAGGGGGTCATCTACAAGCCGTAATGACCAGGGGTCCGTCCAGATTTCTTATGGCATGCGGTTTTTAGTCGATTCGTGTTCGATGTGATTCCTACGCAGGACAAATTATTATGTGCTGAGACGGTCATTTGTTCTATGTCTGGGTGTGACTTATCTATAACAAATATGGACTTAGAAATTAAAAGTATGTTTGTTTAGAAATATCCAAAAGCAAGTCCAGAGTTACATAAGCCCCCGCTATGATTAAGTTGGGGTTAAGCTTCCGGTAGTCTAACTTACTCGGTGAAAGCCAACAAAAGAATTGTTAACTCCGGTTTTCTGTGACACCAAGGCATCACTCCGGTCGAGACATCCATATGTGATGAAGCATGGCTATTTCAAATTCAAATAAAGTTCCAGCGAAGCCCAATTATTAATATAAGTAGTGGGATACCCTATTAGATAAAATAATGAATACATACTAACATTATAAATGCAAAAGTGTGTCACTCTGTCTGTTATTTTGACGCTTAAACCGCTGAGCCGATTTAGATGAAATTTGGCACAGAGATAGTTTGAGTCCCGGGAAAGGACATAGGATAGTTTTTCTCCAAAAAATCATCCTTTAAAGGGGTGGAAATTTATATGGGAACTTAATAACAAAAATATGGAGATAGATTGATTCTTCAGGAAGGACACAGGCGGTAACCACGGGCACAAGCTAGCAAATCGCTATCCTCTCACACGCAGCAGTCATACCTCACATTCGACACAAAATAAACACATTATAGACATCGTGTGTCTCGTGAAATCAGTTCACGTTGTGACAACTCAGTGAACGTAACGCGTTATTGATCAATTGCATATATAAATATGTATGAAGATACATATTCATATTATCTCGAAGATGCCTCGTAGCGAGGAATTTGGTTAATCACTCGTCCCTCCCTCGTAGACAACAGAATTTCTTTTTCAATATCTCAAATATTCTGGTTGAATTTATTATTGTTATATGACAATGACGTTACCATCTATTTTTTCCTCATAGGCACCTTGAAGTCCAAGGAATAGAAAAGTCGATTCACCTATCAAATAGATTAACAGTTTGACAGAAGTGACTCGACCGTATAAAGTAAAGTAAAGTATATTTATACGCGCGGCTCGGCAGAATTTCTGTGACAGAATTTCTTAAAATCGGTTTAGTGGTTGAGGCGTGACAGCGTAACAAACAAACAAACTCACTTATACATTTATAATGTAAGTGTGGATAAGCTACAAAAATAGTTTTGTATGTACCTATAGGACGACACCTGAATACTGTGAAACTTGTCTGTATGACTACTTAAGGCAAATGCGCTAAATATGCATATAACCAGTTGTTTCAACTGACCAAACAAGCGGTTTCCATTATTCCGTGACAATATCTATAACAGTTTAAGTTGAATATGTAAGATATAAAAACACATGCTTGCAAACAAAATAGTGCCTAAGAATTGAAGTTCAATTCTGCAATCCACAGACTATCTTTATCTCATCAACAGCCTTAATTTGTCCACTACTGGACATAGAAAGGAGGTTTTGGCCTACTATACCGCGCTGGCCAGACGGGTTGGTATAGGGTTTGTGTCAAGTTTTCCTTCTCTTTGCAGTTGCCAAGCTGTTGTCAAGTGTAGTTTCTTTCCTTAGTCGGCTCCACTACATCCACGGGATGAATAGGGGTGGTGACTCTCCGTATTCTTAAAAGGTCACCACACGCCTATCAAACAGAAAAAGAGTATGTATATGTTACTGGCAAGTATGTGTTACCTGTTAACATACCGTTAGTTCGGATAAGCCTTGAGGTTTTATCTTTTCTCATAACACATACTCGTACCTAATACCAAAAATAAACAAACGCTAGTTAATAAAATATTTAAACTGAAATTGAGTTCGAATGGTATTACTATAATGTAAGTATAAGTAAAATAATAAGGAAAAGAAAACTTTCATATGTTGTAGCTTATTCTTTTAATTGATTCAATATTAGAAATCATATACTCGTACTTGTTACACGTGTCGGGTAAAACTCTTGTGTTCATACCAGACCTTGAAACAAAACTGTTGTTCACGTAAGGCACGTGTATCGTTAATTAACCGTTAACCAACAAAGTAGGCGTACATCAAACTGTTTTTTCATGGAATTGAGTTATTCACCTTTGCTGTCAATGATTCTTAAATAAAATTACCGTTTCCCGCCGTCTCGATCAATTGCCCGTGCCTTTGATCGCGACACAATCCACGTTTTTTAAACCACTTCAAAAAACAAGGAAGGGTCTCTATTCGGTTGTTTTTTTTTTAGTTTATTAACTCAGAACTCTTTCGTACATTAACCGATTTGTTTTTTTTTATATGTTAGGGTTTACTTCTCGTCTGGTTGTATTTGAAGAAAATAGCCACCCTAAGGGCTGAAGACTAAGGAATACATTTTATTATAATTCATCAAAATGTTGAAGGTTGAAGTATATACGTATCACATAAATTGGCTGCACGGATGGCGTAGTAATTTAAGCGGTCGCCACGCCGCTTTCTACTACGCCGAGTGTTGTGGGTTCAAATCCCACATGGGACGACACTTTGTATGATCCACAAATTGGTGTTCTGTTCTTTGTGTCCGTTTCATGTATGTTTGTAAGATTCCCCGCGACACAGGATATTTTCCTAATGCGGGAGTTGTCTTTAAAAAAAAAAGTAATAAAAACAAAAACTTCAAAAATCTTACACACGGTCGTCTGATCTCAAAGTAGGCAGAGTAAGTGCCATCCTACATACATATAACAGATTACACCCAGGCTCAGCACAAATGATCGTGCTCTTCACACAATTTTTCGCCTGGGCGTAATTCAAACCCAGAACTCTAGCTTAGCAGTCAGGATCACTAATACAGGAATAAGCCAACAGGCCAGTTATTCGGCGATACTTTCAGACATAGCCCCATCACTCCCACCCCCCCTGCTCTCCACAATAGCCGGTGCTGTGCATCCCGCATACTAATATAAATAGATAGATACTTTCTTGAAAGTTTATTATTATTATTAACATATGAACACTAATAGTAAGATTATTCATTTAAGGAACCAAACATACCTAGTATAGCAATTATTTAAACACATTTAAGTAGTACATACTTGGAAATCCTTCATAAAGTTTTTAGGAGCAACGAAATGGTGGGCCATTTAGGGCCCTCCATTAGAGTAAAATGAAATTGTGCGTTCTATGTTAGAGATTTATCTCAGAGGCGGAAATTGAGTTGCTGTCAATAAAAGGCGAAAGGTTCCACCATAGTGCTGCACGAATTCCATTCAGCTAGCTCACTGTGTGGAAAAAGTGTTCATATTGTGTAAGTGGGGCACATTATTATTAACTAAGTATTTGACTTGATTTATTCAATAGATAGACGCACATTACATACATACACCAATCATCAATCAATCATCATTATCATCAACAGCTTTTAATAGTCCACTGCTGGACATAAGCCACTTCTTAGAAAGGAGGTTTTGGATTACTATACCACGCTGGCCAGACGGTTGGTATAGGGTTTTTGTCAAGTTTTACTTGTCTTTGAAGTACTGTTATCCTGCGTGGTTAGCTCCTTTAGTCGGTTTTTACGACACCCACGGGATAAATAAGGGTGGTGACACTCCGAATTCTGGATAACGCTAGCATTTTAATCCACTTGTGTTCATTGAGAGTAACAACACGTAATTACAATAGTTTTAAATGCATTAAGTGTAAAAACAAAATGAAAGAAGTGCGATTCTTTTCTGTTTTTCTTATTCAGCAAATGTAAATAATAGTGTAAGAACAAAGTACTCGAATAGAACGAAAGGTTACGGGGTACGGTAGTTCTAAATGACTTGCAAGGTCAATAGTCGTTAAGTATGTATCATTAGATCGGAGGCGGTCCATTCTTTGATGGTCATTTACTGCAATTTGATGACCATTCGACTGTTTTCTTGACATACCGTATAATATATGAGAATAGTTCTCATACAACGCTGCTAATATGTGATCTGGCTGAGGTTTTAGTCTTAGTATTACCTCTGTACACTAAGTTACTGTGGCTATAAAACATTTGCAGTTCTAGGTATATGATTCGGGAATCGTTTTTGATATTCTATGTATAATTTATGTGATACGTATATACACTCAAGTCTATATCCAAATTTGTATTCTCTCTTTCTCTCTCTCTACTACTCGTTTCTTCCTATACTATAAAAACTATAATTTACCAGGCAGTGCCGGCTATGCTTAGTTCGGATCAAAGTAGCTCTGTTTAATAGACTTCAGGTTATTATTATTTTATTCCTACGGCCTTTTTAAACCTCCGTATCTACTATTGTTTATGGCAACACAGCCATGGTGTTATACTTTAGACTACTGAATTTTATCATGCCAATTGTTTCCGTTGAAAGTTATTTCCTATAAGCCTTTCTAATTTAAAGCCTTTCTAAGGAGAGGCTTATGTCCAGCAGTGGATTATGAAAGGCTGTTGATGAATTGGTATGCCTCCATATTGATTATAAAAGTGGTTGTTAATACCACTTGGAATTACTTTTTGATGTAAAACACTTGTAAATGAGCACAGCTACATATATTGTTACATGCGGAGAGTAATTCTTTACTCAGGACATTGATTGCAGAGAAATTTGAATAAAAAACAAAATTGCATACGCAATGAATGTTAAAAGAAAAATATGTCCATTATTGTTGTGAAGAATTAATAATGACTCTAGGACCACCGGATGGCATAGTGGTTTGTGTAACGGACTGCTATTCCAAAGGTCGCTGGTTCTATTCCCCCTCATGTCAAATTTGTGTGCATGAACATTTAGCGTTTGATTTGGTCTGGATGTTTCTATTGTATAATATGTATGTATTTACAAAAAAAAATATTTATATCAGTTCTCTAGTACCTATAGTACAAGCTTTGCTTGATTTGGGACTAGATGGCGTTGTGCTAATCTGGTAGAATATTATTAATGCTTCGACACATAAGGGCAACCTCGACAGGAAAACCGATGTTTAAGAATGTTTCTTTGCTTTCACGGAGTGAATGAGATGCCTGAGGACCTCCTAATCCTAAAGCGTAACACTTCAATACTGGCAATTTAAGAGTGATTGAAGATACAGGTGTCCATGGTCCGTTATCACTTACTATCTGGTGACCCGTCTGCATACTTAAAAAAACTTGGGAATATTGCTTTAGTACCTATTCAGAAAATACCCATATAATTTTCTAATAAACATACGATTACGATAATATATGCACTTCAAAAAGAAAGAAAAACTTGACACAAACCCTATACCAACCCGTCTGGCCAGCGTGGTATAGTAGGCCAAAAGCCTTCAGCCGGGATGACCAACGAGCCATACTCGCGTACTTCTTCGGGCGGGGGCTTACTGCCGCTAACCGCCCGGAATTCATTAGTCCGTTGATTTACTTCGGCGAGCACTTCCGCCTCGGCGAAAACTTGACACAAACTTTATACCAACCCGTCTGGCCAGCGCGGTATAGTAGCCGAAAACCTCCTTTCTAAGGAGAGGCCTATATCCAGCAGTGGACTATTAAAGACTGTTGATGATTCTGATGATGCAGCTTACAATCAGAATTCTTAACCCGTCAACAGATGGTATCTGAATGCTGCGTCAGATACCATCTACTGTTATTAAATCTTTTGGGTTAGGTTAGAACAGTGACCATTAAGCAGATCTCACAGATTACTAATTAGGGGTAATCTGTGGGAGATCTCCTTTGTTTTTAGCGAATAATTTAGATTAGAATAGGTTATAACAGTGTTGTGGTCAAATGTACTTTTGACTGATTTTAACGGCTAAAAGTACCTTTGACCGGTTAAGAGATGATTGCAACATACAGAATATTAACCGCACATCGTAGTATCATAAGTAGATATCATACAATGTTAGGATGCAGGAGCGTCTTGGAACTAATCAATGCCTTGATCGAGCGCTTCGCTGTTCCTTGTCATTATAACGGACTTTGTAGTTAAACCTCGTTTCGAGTTTAATGACATTATCTAACATTGTTGTGTACCACGTCAGGGAACTTTACAGTGTTTTGGAAGTACTCAAAATTAGGAGCAGCTCTCTTAGAAATGTCACTCACTCGTTACACTTTGTAATCCGATAAGACACGGAGAGATATAATACAAGAGGCATTAGACAAATGAAGCAGTTTATCTTATAATAATTAGTAGAACGTGTTTCTTGAAATTACTTTTACAAATCTAATTATTAAGTTTAAGAAACTAGCGAAGTGATGTACGAGTATATCCGTAATCCGTATCCGCATTCGTTATTTTTTGCCGGAGCTTAAACGGATCCGTTACATTATTATTATATTTAATTGGTTTATAAAATTCTATTTACAAGATTTTATTTTAGCTAATGTTCTTGATACTAATATTCTCAACAGTTCAATGGTACTTTTTAACTAGCTTTGTTAAAAGTATCTTTAAGAAAAACGCAAAGTGCAAGTCGAAAGTTATTGTGGTAATTAATCCGCAATATCAACTGTCGTTTTGTCGTTTAAATATTACTGTTATTGGCGTAAACTAAATCCAAAAACCATGCGATTTCTCTCCGTATTGGTATAAGCGGATCTAAACACTAATACTAATAATAATCGGTCCGAACAATCTAATAATCCGTATTAATATAATCGTATCCGTTTATATACATTTTTAAAGATATGGCCCATCACTAGTGCAGGCACAAACTCAAAGGTAACTCAACTCGTCGATTCTTATTGCGGTACTCATTCTTTGATGTTATTCTCAATTTTCGTGTATTAACTTTATGCTTTAAAAGCCGCTGACGACTGTAACACAATTTACATTAGTACGGTCGTCAACGACGAACTCTTAAATCATTGAATGTATTTGTTAAATTTGATTAAATTTGATTAAATTTGAATTTGAAATTTGAATTCTGTATTTTCTCACCACTTAGTTTTAAATCCAGACTATCTGAACGTAACGCATGTGTTCTTTATCATTTTGAGTGCATTTATTAACGGAACTGTTTCCTGAGTAACTCTGTAGATATTCACCGGCTTTATTTGCTTGTTTGCTTATCTAATGTCATTTCATATTATACATAATCCTGTATTATAAATGTATCTTGTATTTTCTGTGTAACATCTTTCCTGCAAATTATGGGAATGATTTCGTGCAAAGGGACGGAAGTATGTAACAGGAAGCCTGGGAAACGGAAAGTGCTAGAATTGGCCGTCAGATAGTAGCTGAGATCTTAGATATTACAAGTCATATGAGACTACTGTACGGCTAGTTCCAGTTCTGAAACAGTAATCATTAGAATAAAAACGTTTGTTTAGATATTCATATTAATAAAGGATGTACAAACCTTTAACAAAGGGCAGTGCGACCTTACGTGTCGGTGTCAAACGTTACACTCCTGTCAAATACACTGTAACCCTGTCAGTTACAAAACTAGTCCTGTATTAAGTCGGAAAATATATATGCGTGAGTGTGTGTAGTGATTAGACCGTATTTGTTGTATAAATATGTAATAATAATATCAATAATCTTGCTTTAACTGCAAATAGTTTGTAACAAACAGTGAGAGAGACATGCTTCATGCATGAAATATGGGCCAGCTCGACCAGAATTATAACACGGCCTCACAAAAAACGGTTGTTTCGTTTCTTTTGTTGTATTTCCGCACCGGTAGACCGACCCCCTCTTACGAATTCTCTGGGAAGCTCTTAGAGGCCGGATATGCACTTATGACTCTTGCCTTCCAGATGTAAAACGTTGCCGAAGTTGGTGCCCGCGCCATTGTGGGCAGGTGCTAGGAGGGGTCCGCATGTCTTAGCAATAGCAGTTCCCAGATCTCTCCTATTAGAGGTGCAGAGTGGCACACCGTGTGGTTTTGGTCGGTCTAATTCCAACACACAACCCGCCGTAAGCCCCGGTGGAGTGACGGTCCGAAGGGGTTACCACACGTAAAAAAAAAGTGTTAGTAGTGCTCTTTTGCAGTGCTCTTGTCTTGTAGAATGAGCTCCCTCGGTCGGCTCTTACGACACCCACGGGATTAATAGAGGTAGTGATGGTGATACTCCGTATTCTTAATCCGTCGCCACACGGACAGCGTAAAAGACTACTTACCATATTATAGTTCTACCCAATTTGACATTCTGATGTACACTCCCCCTGGCACTAACTTGTTCCATCATGATTATGTCGGCATACTAGAAAAACGTGTGATACCTGCTGTGGAAATCAATGTTAATTAGTACAAGTCAATACATATTTATAACATAAACAAGAACTGAAACTCGGTACTTTTTACTTTTAAATAAAGTATTGTAATAACTGCTTTGACTAACCTTCTCCTCTCTTTCTTTCCAGCCAAAAAAACTACAACACCCCGTGGAGTTGGACGACAGTAACAGCGACAGGGGACTGACCAAGGGCGCCGCGCGGGCATCCGCCGCCCGCGCCACCGCACTGAACACGACTGCTACAGGGGGAGGGAATGAGGAGGGGGGACACTTGACACTTAGTTAAAAAGACTTTAGTTCAAAGACTTTAGTTACACTTAGCACGTGCTGTTGGGCTACACGTGTTGGACTAGTTACGAGGGTTGCTATTTATGTATCCGGAATAACAAAGTGAAATAAACGTATATTTAATATAGTTTTTGATGATCGATGCACTTTTGCATACGTTGGAACCAATTTTCGTAGCTAGCACTTTTTTTATTCTGATTGTGGTATCTCCAAAACGTGCATTTTGAACGCATCAACAGTCTCTTCACGGCTCGAAAAACGTGGACCACGTAATTTATTCTTCACGGTTAGGAATAAATAGAAGTTGTTAGGGGCTAAGTCAGGGCTGTGCAGCGGATGACCCTTTAATTCGATCTTTTGATCTTCCAAATACTGAGTTGTTTCGTGTTCCGATGTGTGGCAGCTAGCATTTTCATGATGAAGAAGGATTCTGCATTGTCGGTTATTCTTTCTTATTTCTTCAAAGACTTCTGGCAAACAAATGGTCGTGTACCATTCAGAATTAACTGTTTTACGATCCTCTAGTGGCACTGTAGATAATGTAGATAACATGTCCATTTATACCTAGAAACAAGCAACCATTTGCTTCAAAGTGCTTTTTGAACGAATGACTTTTGTTGGGTTCGGATCATCTTGGAACACCCAAGCCGTTGATTGTTGTTTAGTTTCAGGATCTTACGCATATAACCAAGATTCATCACCTGTGTAGATATTATAGATAGCTTTTGACGCACCCTTTTTGTACTCTTGTAACATTTTTTTACACTAATAGACATTAGCCCGTTTTTTGGTCAATTCTCAAGTAGTGCGGAATCCATCAATTTTTTACAGCTAAATGTTGTAATATTTTATATATACTCGTCATACTTATTCCCAGAGACGCTTCTATCTCGCGATATGTATGACGGTACACATGACGATCTCGCATTATTCGTTTCCGCACAGCATCAATATTTTGAGGTAAAACAACCTATTTAGGGCGACCTTCTTTAAATTCGTCCGTGAGCACAGTCTGCCCTCGATTAAACTCACTAAACCAGTGACACACAGTTGTTTTTGATGGTGCTTCTCCCCAAAAGTCGAAATTAATTGATTGATGCACTGTTTTTGAGTTAGCCCTCGCCGAAATTTGTAATAAATCATAGCACGAAAATTTTCACGAGTAACATCCATAGTGATAAAGACACGCAATTTTCCAAATGACGCCACAAAGGATAAACAAGTGACAGCTACATGAAACAAATTGTATTCTTCAGCCAGAGTTCTATTTTTAAATGTTATAATTACTTTTAAATATTGTTCTGTAACTGGCCGGTTCCGGATACATACTCATAAATAGCAGCCCTCGTATAAACGAACTTTTCTTGTATACCAAGAGTATTGTTAAGATTGTACCAAATTGTTGTATTTTGATCGGACAGATAATTTTTAAACTGTCAGATTTTTGTAACGCTTGTAAGTTGTTTAATTTTAATTGAATACTCAAACAATCGTTGTGTAAGCGATTCGTGTTTGAGATGTCGTTTTTTTTTTATTGTTTATGGGAGTCAAGACAGAGACTACATAAAAAAGTGCAATGTCATTTACTTATTTAAAAAATGTATTTGTTTTTTTAAACTGTTGTTAAGAAATGTTTCAAATTACGTTGACTGTGATCTTCATTATGTTTTATTTTGTGAGAGGAATAGAAAATATCACTGAAATTAAACTAAATATAATAATGTTTATCAGAATTTATCTTAAATATTTTTAACTAAAAATTTCTCAATGGTCATGGTATGGAGGAAAAAATCAATTTACAAAAACATCTACCCCGAGCATAATTCTGAGTAAATTATAAAAACAATTTTACATTAAATTTTGTCTATGCGTGCTCTTTTACTACATTGATGGTATTTTTATAACCGAAACCAAAACCATGACATGCACCGTATCAAATACAATTTTACTTTTTTATATGTTTAAACAAAGGTAACGGTTACGTCATTCTTATTTTTTTAGTTTAAGAAATACGGTACAGAGTATAAAACATAATATTTTTTGGTAAATAATATGATCGTTAAGTAGATAAAAAAAAATGGTTTTGCTGAACATAGCGCTGCTTGAGTAACTGGCACGTCATAATATGTTTTCTCAAGCTACACCTGTACTATAAATTTATCTATGGAAAAAATATTCTTTGTCGCGTAGAGACACGACAATTTCGATATTAAGTATTAGTTCTAGGCCATCTGACGTTACATATGTAGATATATTCATACAAAACCACAGGAAATAGTGGACTTTATGTTTAGTGTGTTAAGGTGTAATTTGAAGGAGACCCCCAAAGCTTGATGATGAACGAATTCATCCGTCCGCTGTTGTGAAGCCCCCGTATCGTCGCTCATTGCGGTAGTCTAGTATTGTGGACTGTCTCTCCTAACCACGTTACGCCGTTTTACGACTTTCTCCACACGTTCCAAATAAATGTTGTTAATAATATCTAATATTTATTAAGATATCATCGATGTATAACATGTGGAATTAGTTGTAAAGAGACGCGGTAACACATACACTGTGAACTGATCTGTATAAAAATATTTTATAATTAAAGTATAGCGATTAATCAAGTGGATTTTTAAGACAGTTAATTTGTTAATTCTTCATATTATTATATTGATATCTTTATTGTATCTGGTGGTATCCATATGGTTAATCTGATTAATAAGAAAATAAAATATTGGGCAAAATTTACTATCACAAAAGATATAAATTTCCAAAGCAACATGTGTTTAGTCGCCAATAGAGACCAGCAATTGAAACTAAAGACAGACTGTCTACTACACTCTTTTATATCCACAAAATTGAAGATAATTAAAGCAAATTAATATAATAAACCCCATCGCTTTGTATTAAAAATATTTCAAATATTAAATCTTACCATCCCCTGTCTCAACTGTCTTATTATATTAAAAGTAATATAGGGACATATACATACAAAATCTGCTGCTAAACTCTGGGTATGTCATATCAAGGTTGATAATGCATTGTATAAAAAATAAACTAAAACCTTACTTTTGAAATGTTGCATTTGAAATTCACGGACAAAGGACCTATATCTACTACTTCAGAAAATATATTTATGAAGATAAGTTCACATATACTATACGTGTTCACTGAAATGGAATTGTTAACCCACCTCTAAGGAGCATCTACACTTTACAAAAAAAAACTTACACTCTATGTTCAACTGTAATTTTACGTTAACGAAATATATTTTCATAACGATTTTACTGTTGTTGTACTTGTTTTCAGTACACACAAAGCCCACTAAATACCAATTAGCTAACATGCAATTTCCGATATGGTATTCATCTCTCTAATTGATGTCTGCATTTAAACCACAGCCAGACGGATTAATCCAATACATGCATATATGCATACACATAGAGAGTACATGTTACATTCACGTCACTGATCCAAATCAAATAAACAGGCAGGTAGCTTTGCCCGGGCATCCGGGACCTAGAATGCAATATATAGTTACATGTACGTACATCCGACGTATGGCACATCTCTACCCAGACAGCATCCATGACAACCATTTAAACTCGTTACGCCCTGCGCCGCGAGGGCTGTTCCACGTTCACAGTCAACGCACATTATTCTGACAGTTGATCAAAATCGATTACGCGCATCACCGAACCCTACACACACACGAAGTGAGTAACAAGGAAATTTGTAATTTTAGTTCTCTAATAACGTCGTGTTTGTGTAATGCAATTTCATTTTATTTGGGAAAATTAAAAATTGTTATTCTTGTAAACTTCTATGTCTTAATTTAAAGACAAAATACTAAACAATATATAAGTGACTAAGTAAATTAAATACATGCCTAAACGCATGTTTGAAGACATTTCTAAGTACAACGACAAAGTGGCACTATCGAATGTGCTTCTTATCTTCATAGTTGCATTAGAATACAAAGAGAACATGGTTCTGTACTTAAATGTAAAGTGCAGTAAATTGTAGATGCTCAACCGACCATATCCCTAATTTCTAAGATGGTGAGTCGAATCGGGTGTAGGAAAGTACACGCGTACGACATAATATTATATTTAGTTGTGATATGATATAATAAAACAACACGAGCGCTGAGGAGCGGCGCAAGTTCCAAATAAGTGCAGTCCGCAGTCGGACTGCAAGTGTATATCGTAGGTAGACAAGTTAAGGAAGAAGTATGAAGCATTTAATTTATGTGCGCCAAGTGCAGGCCGGATTTGGTATTTAAATTATTGTTTAATGTTACGATGAACTAGCTGACGTATTGACGAATTGTATGTTCTTTGTTAAGTATAAGAATGATGTTGTAAATCTCAATTTTAGTTTAAGATAAATGGAAATTGTATAATCGTCGTTTGTCAGAAAATAGGACTAAGAAAATTTTAATGGGAGTATTTTTCAGAGATTTGGCCTGCACTGGCTCTTTTTATATTTATAAACAGAACATCAGGGTGAGTACTGTCAGTCGATTAGGTTAATAGTATTCACCGGGGCGTGTAAATCTGGTTAAAATGAGAGTAGGCAAAATATAATAGACCGTTAGGAAATGAAATGCTAAAAGATGTCATAAGTTTGTTGGCTAATAAAATTATACAAGATGGCGGATCGATTTAAATATAGAATTCACCCAAGTTTTAAGTAGACATCTGATTAAACATTAAATTATTCAACAAATAATAAGTAGAATAGACGAATTATTGCAAAAAAATTCACATAATTTAAGTTAAGGAAACCGCAAATCTATAAATAATAATTGTAATACTAATTCAATATTGTTGCTTTTATCACATGTTTAGAAATTAGTGGATTCAAACTCAACTATAGGTGTTAATAAGTCTAAATGTTCGTTTGTGTCAATGTGATGTTTTGCTTCAGTGATCTTCATCGATAAAATAATAAGTCCGAATTAATAATCATAATATATGTAGTCGTGGAATTATTCTCATTTTAGCCAGT